GAACCTGCAACCTAGGTACATGCCCTTGATCAGAATCGAACCTGGACCATGCGGTCCACATGCCATAGCATTATCCACTGAGCCAAACTGGCTAGGGCAGGATATGACATTTCTTAGTCCTCCAGCAGCCGACCTTCATTTTTTTCCCCAGAGTGAAGTAGAAAAACCCTAGATCACCTTTTTGAATTCTTGTTACCCACGTTACCAAGAATATTACCAGAGGCATACAGGGAGCTTAGCCAATGAGCTGTCAGAAAAGGTGTTTCCCCTACAGCTCACCTGCAGAGGCAGGATTGCTGGCAAGCCTAGGCGGGCACACCTCCTGTCTCTGGGCCTGCTCAAGTCTCCAGTGCGGCTTGGGCATCGCCCCCCAGCTCTGCTCAAGCCTCTGCCCAAGGCCACCCACCCTCCCCTCTGCTCAGGCCCTGCTCAAGCCTCTGCCATTGCTTAGGCAAGCCACCCCCCACACCCCTCACTCCTATCAAGCCTCTGCCCTGGCTTGGGCAGGGCCCCCCGGTTCTGATCAAGACTCTGCCAGGGCTTGGGCAGGGCCCCCCACTTCCAATCAAGACTCTGCCGGGGCTTGGGCAGGGTTCCCCGGCTCTGATCAAGACTCTGTTGGGGCTTGGGCAGGGCCCCTTGGCTCTGATGAAGCATCTGCCATGGCTTGGGCAGGGCTCACCACTCCTCTCTGGCCCTGCTCAAGCCTCTGTTGCCCCTCCCCCCCACGGTGCCAAGGCCAGTAAGCCAGTAGTGGCCAGGGTGTTCTGGGACCGAGGCTGCTCAGGGCCTATGCTGGGGCCTGCAGGCTCTGAGCTGCCTGGGTCCCTAAGATGTTCCCGGGACCTAGGCCGCTGGGCGCCTGCATATGCAAATTAACCCATCATCTTTGTCAGGTTAATTTGCATACTCACTCCTGATTGGCTGGTGGGCATGGCTTGTCAGCATAGTGGAGGTACAGTCAATTTGCATGTTTCTCTTTTATTAGATAGGATGACTTATCAGCATCTTTGGATCTTTACCCATGTCATCCTATTTTTGCCTTCTTATTTTATTTCTAAAGTATCTCATTGGGTCCTCGATTAATGCTTTATTCTTTAACCCAAAGCCATGCTTTGTTTAATATCCAAGCCTCTCTTGCAGGATGTGGTTATTAATATTAATGAATTCCATAAGACCACAGCTGAAAGAAACTATAATTTGATTGCTCTGAAATTACAACTATTTTAGTTATGTGACAAAACTCAACCTGAACTACATGAATAAATAAATTAAAAAAGAGGAGTATAGTATTGGATTAAGGAACCAAGCCATAGAAAAGGCTGGGATTGAACTGAACGTGCCTCAGAGATGGTTGAATCTAGGGATTCAAAAGCTACTCTCTCTTTCCTCTCTTTCTCTCTCTCTCTCTCTCTCTCTCTCTCTCTCTCTCTCTCTCTCTTTCTCTCTTTCTCTCTCCCCAGCAAAAGATTAAACAGCAAAGATTATTCAAGCAGCAATTGAGTTTGAGATATCAGAGGATATACATGTGGCAAACCATAGGCAAGGCTGAGGATACAGAAAAGAGGTCAGCTTTTATTGAGTTTAAGGAGAAAATTAGGGAGAGGTTGTGGTGGTGTCTTATTGCTGGCTGGTAGTCAGCTGCCTGCTGTTGCTCAGGAAGGAGACTAGGCAGCTGGTCACTAGGGAGGCAAACAGGGAGGGAATCTCCCTTCTTCCTCGTGACTGTATAAGCTGCAGGTGCTGGTTACGTAAATGGTGAGGGGTGAGTGCGTGAGAGCTCTCCCTTCATGGCTTCCTGAATCCATTTTTCATGAGGGTTACATTTTCAGATTTCCCCCCTTCTGATCAAGATCTTTCTTAGAAAGCATTGGGATCAAGAGTCAGGTTTGTCTGTATTTAGTGGTTTTGTTCATTGGTGCTAGGAAGGACCTTCCCTGGTTGTCATGTCCCATGTCAGAAGAAAAGTACATAGTGATTGGAAACCATTTAAGGCCACATTTGAATAACAAGGAAGGTAGAAAAGGGAACTCTTAGGCATTTCCCACTCAATGTTTATATCTTGCAAGTATCAGAGATCATCTTGAAGTGTTGGGCTAACATCATCCTATTCAGTGTATTGCTTCTACAGAGATCTGATTAGCAAACAGGCACAGAGTTTACACACAGCCCAGCCGGCATTGCTCAATGGTTGATCATCGACCTATGAACCAGGAGGTCATGGTTTGATTCCCAGTTGGAGCATATTCAGACTCGATCCCTGGTGTGGGTCGTGCAGGAGGCAACCGATCAATGACTCTCTCTCATCATTGATATTTCTATCTTTCTCTTTCTCCCTTTCTGAAATTAATTATATACATAGAGTATATAATGATTACATACACACACACAACAAGGAACAGAATAATAAATCCCATTTGAAAAATGGTCCGAAACCCTTAAATCAAAAGCCCAAACCTAAAGGTAACCAGCTAAATAGATTGAAAGACCAGGAGTCATCAGGTAAAGGTTGTTGCAACCAATTGGCTTATTGTCTAATTTTATGTAGTTAAGTTTTTACTTTCCCAGAGGAATTTATCCAAGTGCAACAGGTAGTTTTTGCTATTGCACATACACCTCCTAAGTAAATAATCAAAGCTATTTTATGTTGTAAAACTAGTTTGATTAAATAATAAGCAGCTATTTCCTTGGTGGTGTAACTGACAAGTTTTCCCAGTCTCAGAGAGAGACTTATGATCATAGATTCACTGGCATGTACACCAGCAAGAGGGAAGAGTACTCTCCCTGTGGAGACAAGTCTGAATACCTCTTGAAAGTTTCCACTTGAGGTGGCTGTGAAGGTCTGGTGCAGAGGACCAATGGGAGGAAGAATGGGAGACCTCAGATTTATTATGGATGCCGATACGAATAATCAAGTTCCCAGTGAGAATTGGCCTCTGATCTGCCAGCTAGCTAGGCGTTCATAGGCCCATTGAGAGTGTCATTTGTCACAGACAAACCAGGTAGTGCCCATAAGACTACTGCTATGGA